GTTGGCTGCAGGTTTTCGAACATGCACATTCAACAGAAGCTGGTCAGCAGACTGGCTTCTGTCAGACAAGCAGCTGTATGCACGGGCTAAAAGTCGGTCGATTTCTACTTTAACGGCTGATTTTGGCTATTTGGACTGTGTGTATGGGGCTTCAAGCTGGACTTACACCTGTAGAATTTGATTCAAAAGATTACTGTATGTTTTCAGAATGTTCATTTAATTATCTAGGAGTTTCATCCACAGTGAGCAGAAAAATCAAAGGCAAGGATGGCAAATATGAGTCAAATCTAATAGAAACAAACAAATTTCACTGAATTCCCTCCTTGTTGGGAACAATCGTAACTAGTCTTATGCGAAAACATTTGTCAGTGTTAATCCAGATGTAGAACATTTGTTCTATGAAATTTGAAATATTGACATAGTACTAAAACAAAATGTCATTTGAAATTAGTCAAGTCCATAAAGACACCATCAAATGGTTTGGTGAGTGATTTTTATACTTTCTAATTTGGACTTTTGTATGAAATTCTACAGGTGTAACGCCAGCTTAAGTCAGCTGCCCTCACGGTGATCAGATCATGCTGGCACTCAGCCCTAATCAAGGAAATAAAGATATTTTCTTCCCAATACCATTACACACTATTACTCATTCCCTGAAGAAGGGAGGAGTCTAGTTCCCCCGAAATGCGCTGTCTGCATCTGAAATTTTTGTTTATATAAACAATTCAAAGGAACCTCCAAGCGAGATGACTTTTTTCTCCTGTGGTGTTCCTAACCACATATCCAAGTAAACAATACAACTGTAAAACCAATCTGAAGGCTGAAGTGAGGAATTGCAAGGCCTATGAACTAGAGAAGGGGAAGACCACTGGGCGAGCGGCATAACTTACAATGATGATGTTTAAACCTTGTACTATATTAGAAAATATGCCTTAAACTCTAAAATAGCCTCTGTTCTATGTAAATGTATGGCACACCACATATATTACTATTCATAAATGTAATTTGATTTAAAGGAGAAGTAGGGTCAAAGCTCTGTTGGGCCTTCTTCTTATAGGGATCACAGGAGTGCACTTTGTTCCGCACTGCTGTGAACAGTTTTCAGTCCGCTGTCAGATTACATCACACAGCTAGTCCAGACTCTGGAGAGATCCCACCTTTAATGTATGGGTCCAGATGCCTGGACCGGAAGATAGCTCAGCCTCTCAGTGAGCCACTGAGAGCCTGAGCCGCCACTCCTGCCCCCTCCACAGCCCGGCGTTCCACTGAGCTGACAGTCACCAGCTCTCTGGTCATTGAAGGCTGAGAACTGACCCATCAGAGGTCTTTGATCACTCAATTCTTGGCCTTGGAAGTGGCAAAGGACAGCTACGGTGTTGGACTGTTGCTGTATCCAACTAGGTCAGAATATTTTTTTTTTACAGTCCCTAACTTCACTTTTAACAAAGTCACTTTACCCTGTTTTCCTTGACTTACCTAATATAGGTAAGTACTGTAGTGTCCTAACACAAGCTAACTTTTTCACAGCCTTATTTAAAAAGGAACTTCAGTCCCCTGGTTCTTTTGTAAGCCCCCATAAATGGTAAGTTGGATAGTCCTCAATCCATATACATACCTGCCCAAAGGATCCAGCATTTTCCTGGTGTGCTCAGGTGTCACAGCCTGGTCCCACACCACAATCTTAGTCCTCCTTAGCCGACTGGTTCTTTTGGGTTCAGGCAGCCAGCAGTCGGCCTACAAAAATGTGTGCCAGCTCCATTGACTGGCCATTCTGTATGGTACTACTGCAGGCTCCTGGGATATCACAGGGGGATTTGGGAGAAGGAGCACCTCATTTTTGCCTAGGTGAGAATAAAGGCAGGGAGTGGCAGTTCTGGAGTGAAATGTAAAAAATGCAAAGCAAAAATAAGGTCCAGTGTTTAAGGGGTGAGGAGTGCAGAAAAGTCAAGAAGGTCCACTTTAACAGCTCATTGCACAAAACAGGTATTTGGGTATATAAAACATGTAACACGTAAAATTTAAATGACCTGGAATATACAGATGCATCTACATGCTGGTGTACGATCACTGGGATATAATTGCCCTATGTCAGATCTTTAACTTAGTAGGATCTCTTTAATTCTACCAACACCATAAGGTTATACTTAAAATGTTTTCTTCTAAAATATTTTCCACTTTTCCATAGTGCACAAATGTACAGCGCATTTCTCCAAGGACAGCTCTGCAGAAATGGGATCAGAACTTGAAGACAGAAATACAATACTCACAATTCTGTAAGCTCTAGATTCTGAAAAAGCTGCCATGATAAGGTTGTCAGACGGTTTCCTGAAAGATTTCTGAAATTGCAAGAATAAAAAAAAGAGAATTATTAATAATTAGAAAACAATACAAAATGCATGAAAAAATTAATGCTGTTATATACGACTTCCACGTAGGTAATATTGATGCGCTATAAAAATTTAAAATCTTCCTGTAGGAGTTTACAGCATAGCAGTCTGTTGTATTGAATAATAATAAAAAAAAAATACTCAACTGGCACAAATCAGATTTCAAGTGTGACAGTAAAAGCTTGCATATAGATTGCAGAACTATTTCTACATTTATTATTTCTTTTGTTATATTTTAGTGAATCAGAATTAGACATAATGTATGACTTATGCAATGAATATTTCTACATCTCATCGAAAGAAATTTGCAAAGGAAAAAAAATGATATGACAATGATCTGATGTATCGGTGGAAAATATATTCATACGGTGGACAATTTCTGCCATTCACAACCTGAAGTGTCTGAAAAATACCTTGTAATGTTAGCTGTAGTCCAGCAGTAAACCTAGCACTGCACATTTTTGAAGATTAAATGTAGCTAAGAGCCATAGACCTACTTATATACAGTATGTTGTAGCTGGGTCTACATATGACAATTCACTTTCAAGCTGTCAAGTCACTCACAAGCTATCAGGTAGTCCATTGGCTTGATGTCTGTGTTTGAGCATTTCCTTTGAACAGCCATTACAAGAGGCACCCAGTCACCCTGTTGCATGTTACGATAGTGGCAACCCCTGGTATGTGTCCTTGGTCTCCAGACTGATGCCCTGGTATTGGGTCTGCAAACTGTTCTCTGTTCAGCCCATGTAATAAAATTCAGCCAACCTAGTGCCTCCCCCAACATCTGCAGCCGCTCTTTTGTCTAAGGTTTTGCTCACCTCCTCATAAAAGGAAAGCCGATTTGTTTGACAACTTCTGTCTTTCATGAATCTATGCTGTCTGTTGCATAAAATATCTTTTCTAGAAAAAAACTCATCTATGTGGTCCTTTATTAAACTCTCCGGTATCTTCCCAACTATAGAAGTTAAATTAACAGGTATATAATTACCTGGTAAAGACTTTTATACCTTTTTAACCACCTCTCGCAATGACGGGCGCAAGGCAGTTCTCTCATTCTGGGAGGATGTCATATGATGTCCTCCCATTCTAACCATGCATGCGCGGCTCCGGGAGTGTGCAGCACAGCGATCGGTGGTCTGAGGGACACAGCGGATCACCGATCAACGGAAAGAGCCAAAGATGTCGGCTTGGTCATGTGATCAGCTGTGTCCAATCACAGCTGATCACATGTAAATAGGGAAATGACGGTTATAAGCATTTCTCTTCTCTCTGTCACGCTGACAGCTCAAGAGGAGAGCCGATAATCGGCATTACTCAGTGGGGACATGTGCACTGATCATCAGGGCAGTGATGATCAGTGTGCCCTGATGATCTGTGTAGCCCCAGCAGTGCCACCTGTCAGTGTCCATCAGTGCCAGCTGTCAGTGCTCATCCATGCCACCTGCCAGTGCCCATGAGTGCCACATCAATGCCGCATTTCAGTGCCTACCAGTGCACATCAATGCCACATATCAGTGCCCATCTGAGCTGCCTTTCAGTGTCACCCATCAGTGCCACCTACCAATGCCAGTTAGTGCCACCTATCAGTGCTGCCAATCAGTGCCGCCAATCAGTGCCAGCCAGTACCGCCTATCAGTGCCAGTCAGTGCCGCCTAACAGTGTGCATCAGTGCCGCCTATCAGTGCCCATCAAAGCTGCCTATCAGTGCTGCCTAACAGTGCCAGTCAGTGCCGCCTATCAGTGCCACCTATCAGTGCTGCCTATCAGTGCCATATATGAGTGCTGCCTTTCAGTGCCCATCAGTGATGCCTGTCAATGCCCATCAGTGCCACCTACCAGTGTCTCCTCATCAGTGTCCACCAGTGCCACCTATCCGTGTCCATCAGTGCAGCCTATCAGTGCCTATCACTGCAGCCTCATTAGCGCACATCAGTGAAGGAGAAAAATCAGTTATTTACAAACTTTTATAACAAAAACTAAGAAAAAACATTTTTCAAAATTTTCAGTGGTTTTTGGTTTGTTTAAGAAAAAATAAAAAACTCAGAGGTGATTACCACCAGCTCTATCTGTCACAAAAAAAATTGATAAAATTTCATATGGGTACAGTGTTGCATGACCGCACAATTGTCATTCAAAGTGCAACAGCGCTGAAAGCTGGAAATTGACCTGGGCAGGAAGGGGGTAAAAGTGCCCTGTAGGCTAGTGGTTAAATATTGGCACCACATTGGCCTTACACCAGTCCAGTGGTACTATGCCAGTCATTAAAGAGTCCCTAAAAATTAGAAACAATGAGTTTGAAATGACAGAGCTCAGTTCTTTTAGGACCTGTGGGTGTATGCCATCTGGTCCAGGTACTTTATTCACCTTTTTTTGTTCTATCTTATCATTTCTGGACCATATAAATTTTGAGTCACAGTGGTTCATTTGCGCGCTAGGTCAAAATAATTCCCATTATGAACTTGAGCTCCTAAATGCTCTTTTGAATGCACAAAGCTGAAGAAGGTATTTCATGATTTTGCCTTCTTTTTGTCCCCAGTTGCCCATTCTAGATTATTCTGTAAAGGGCCCTTTTTACTATTAATATATTTGAAGAATGTTGGGGGTTTGTCTTACTCTCTTACAATTTGTCATTCCTTTTGAATTTTTGCAATCTTGATTTCCTTTTTACCTATTCTGTTCTTACTATTTATCCTGTTGACCACTGGTCATTGTCATTAGGACAAAAGGTGAGGGAAGATCCAAAATTCTACAGCTGCCACCTAATTTGGAGTAGAGCAGTCACCCCTTCCATTGGTAAATCACTTGATTTGACTCACATTGGGGAGGTTTCTGCTCACTTCCTGTAATGTCTCTGCTGATCTTTGTAGACTTAGAACAGGTTGTTATACTGAACAATAGCTGTCTAACTTTATATTGGGGAGATTCACTATAACTATTTGTCCTGCTGACCACTGGCCATTGTCACTAGGACAGAAGGCAAGGGGAAATCCTGAATGCTAAAATATTTAGTGCTACTACCCAATTAATCCAGCATCAGTAAGAGCCCACGGGGACCCGATCTGCAGTAGCACAGCAGTATAAGTCCATAAAAGGGATCCACCCCACATGGAAGAAAAATATATTTTAAATATATTTTTACAATATTCTTCCCAAATATATTGACATATATTTGAAATACTACAATTTTGGCTGTATTCAATATATTTCAAAATATATTTCAATAAATAATAAATAAATATATATATATACTGTATGTTGAAATGCATTTTTATTACAAAATATATGAAAACTATTTTTAAAGATGCATTTTCAAATATACTGTATGTCTTTAACCTCCTCGGCGGTATAATTATTTCCGATTTTTTGTGCTGAAAGCGGTACCATTTTGTTGCATGGAAATATGTAGTTTTTTATTGTAGGCTGTAATTTTTTAGGAATAACTCACTGAAATCTGTATGAACAAGAGTCTAGTAAAAACATCCCGGGTAGGATAAAATTTGAAACACGAAATCATAAATTATAATTTATAAATAATCATAAAAAATAATAATATAATAACAATAAATTTAATTCAATAATATAACCAAACCAAAAACACTGAAATTTGAAATACAGAGGCAAATTCGCACATCACTGTGCAAAGTCGCAAAATCGTTTTCAGTGTCTGATGTCGAATTTCCCCACGAATCATTATCACTCAATTCTGCAAGTGGTTCTGATTTACTATCGCTGTTCTCTAGCTGGTCTAAAACCGCTTTTGACCTAAAGGGACGCTTTTTGGACGCCATGGACTTTTCTAAGTTTCCAGGCAGAAAGAACAGTCAAAATGCAGGCAGGGCGCCGGACAAAGCAGTAGGGACAAAATGTATGTGAAATGCATTGAAACAGCAATTTTTTACTATGTAATAGTAATTTTTTTAAAAAATGACATTTTTAAAAAATTTCAAATTTGCTGCCGGTTCCGGCGCCCGTACGTCCCGACGTCACAGGGACCGGAACACGAAAGCCGGATGCCGGCATCGGCCGGAGGAGATGGCCAGGGACGCTGCAGGGGACACATTGCGGGAACGAAGGACAAGGTGAGTGCTGCAGGGACTCCCTGAGCAACGCCGCATGGTAAGCCCGAGTGTAGCTCAGGGTTACCGCTTTTGGTACTCAAATTTTACCCCGAGCTACACTCGGGAATACCGCTAAGGAGGTTAAAAATGCATTTAATCTACATTTTTGGAATGCATTTACAAATATTGGTAAAAATACATGTTAAAATTACCTTTTTTATATGTTAAAAAAATTCTGAAGAATATGTTTAAAAAATATTTTTCATATATTTTGTAATATATAAAAAAAAAAAAAATATATATATATATATATATATATATATATATATATTTTTTTTTTTTTTTAATATTTTGAATACAAACAAAATTGTAGTATTTCAAATATATATGTCAATATATTTAGGAAGAATATTTTTACAATATGCTGCTCTTATAATCTTGTTTATTGTAGAAACCACAGTGTACAAGGCAAAACAGCTTTAGTCATAACTTTATGACTGTCCCCGAAATAGGAGTAGAGCAGATACCCGTTCTGTTGATAGCTTTCAGTGGTGTGATTTTGACTCACTTCCTGTAATGTCTCTGCTAATCTTTATAAAAGGCGACAAAGGCCACAATAAAATCCCAATAGGGGTTCTCAATCGGCCCCACTCTATCAAAAACGTTGTCTGCTGTTTTTTACTTTAAGTAATAAAATTGGAAAGACTTTCTTTCTTTGGCATAGATGCAATATTTTCTGCATAGGCTCAGTTACACACTGATTGATTTTACTTGTTACCTGGAATTATTCCATAGCAGAGGTGCAGTGTTTGCTGTTTAGCATTAGCTCCACAGTGATTTATTTTAGGCATTCCCTGGAGATACTTTTCAGTGTAGAAGAAATATGTCCTGAATAGATTTAGAAGTGATTGCTGCTTGATTTTATTTATTGTCCAATGTTAATTTTTAGCATAGTGCCGATGTTTCCTGCATAGCATTAGGTGTGCATTAACTGATTTTACTTACTATCCAGAGTAATGCTTTAGCATAAATGCAATGAAGTTGATTTACTAAAGGCAAGTAGACTGTTCAACCATCCCCAGAGCTTAGTGAATGAGGCAAAGATCTGTTAACTTCCATCATCCAATCATGCACAACTAAAATGATGTTTTTATTTATTTTTTACGTGCATGTGATTGGGTATTCTTTGCTAAGTGAAGCTTCATCATATGCATTAAGCTCTGGGGAAACTTCATTTGCAGAGTGCAACTGCACTTGCAAAGTGAACAGTCTATTTGCCTTTAGTAAATCAACCCCAGTGTGTCTTAAATAGTATTAGCCGTAATAGATTTGATTTTGATTTATGGAGGTATGGTCTAGAACAGTACTTATGTTTCCTGGATTGCATCAACAGTTGCATTAGCAGTTTATTGATTTTTACTTACAAATCTATAAGGCTTCATTCACCTTGCTCTTTTCATTGTGGTTCACCTGTGTTTGGACATCCTTACACTCTCTATGGGTGAACTGCAGTAGCGATAAATGCCCATGCTGCAGTAGGATGCAAGCCCAGGCATGGTATGGACAATGTTTATTGTGTTCCTTGGAAAATGCAATGTGGTACACAGCATAGCTTAGATCTATAGTGCTAGATGTTGCAGATCCATATCTTCCAACTCCTTCCTGGGGCACAGGGACTTTTTTAAATACAAATCCCTCTGGCCCTCTTTCCTCTGCACTCTTGATCTCCTCTGATAGATACAGATCTTTCAAGACCTATTCTCACAAAGTATCATGACCACAACATGTAAACGCCCCCATTCACTGCCAATTGCAGCTTAAGGGGGGCTTTGGAGGGGGCACTTAAAATGCCACTCAGCTGCACATTTTAACCATCCTTCAACCACACGTCCAAACTTAGCCTTACTGTTTGGGAATCTCTAATGCCTCTTTGACAGGTGCCTAGCTGCTAACTATAGATGTGCAGTGGATCGTTTTGCCAGCAGTGTCTGCCCTGCAGCTACCAGATGATCAAAAAGAATATCTGAACTCCTGCATGATTGTTTGAAGAGGGATTTTAGTGCGTGCATTGGGTGTGGTTGCATCGCGGTTCTGACGCAGCCCCATTCACCTCTGTAGAGCATGGTGGCAGGCAGTATCGCCTGCCATCTGTGAAATGCCTTTTTTTTTTGCAGAATTGCTAAGCACAGTTTTGCCAATGCACTGAGTATGGGGCTCTAAAGCAGCCATTGCCTGTTTCTTACACTAAAACCCAACTCTATGAAACCTGAAGATTCTCCCTTGCAGTGGGGCTGCACCTATACTGCAAGGGTTAACTGTTTGTTTAGGTCTAGGGGGCATAGAAAATAAGACTGACTTGCCTGATCCTCTGCTCCTCTACACTGCTAAACTGGTCCCTGGTCTTCTTCCTTGTGCTCCAGCAATCTAAAATCCTGATGTCATCAAGACCAATGTAAGGGTCCATTGGCTGGAATTGGACATGAGACTCCAAGAGACAGTCCACAAGCTGAAGCATGTGGAAGTGCCATTTGCCAGGGGAGCAGAGGAGTGTTTTCCCGGGGTTTGGCTTTAAATAAAGCACATCAACTGCATATTTTTGTAGCCCTACAGTGCCCATGTGAAAGAGACCTTAATGAGGTTTTTTGTATTTATTTATTTATTTTTAATCTGTATTCATCTATATATTTTCGAGTTCACTTGTTCTTTGTTAAAGATCACAAAAAGTATCATACATGTTATCAATGGTTGATGTTGTGATGATCGCGACATCAGACCCCTGTCCTTCTCACCAAACTCGTGACCGAAGGACTAGCCAATCTAAAACCGCGATGTCATGTGCGTAACAATGCCACGCCCAGCTGCACCCTGCACACAGATTTTCCAGCTAATGGTCCACAACCTGTGTACTTGCAGCCTGAGCGCGATTGTTACTGGGTCAGGTTAATTACGCAATTAACCCTTCACACTGCCACCACCTCCTTTTTTGTACAGAGAAAGAGGAAACTCTGCAATTTCAGCAATAACACTAGGATGGTTGAAATAATTGTCTGTATACCACTGTCACCGCAGGCAAGTTATACAGAGGGTTAAACACACATAGTAGCGCTCTTCAGCGGCAGGAATTCATAAGTTGCATTAAAGAGCTTTAGAAACAGTTCAACATTTTCAGAAAGTAAGATTTATTACTAAAAGGTCAAAAGGGTGCAATAACAATATTTACAGAAAAAAGATGAAGCCAATATATATATAAATATACAGAGAGCAATAACACAGCAAAGAGATAACAGAAAGGAATTTAGAGGGTTAAAGTACTTGCCAATCCGCTTTGGTTTAAGTAGCTTCAAGTGTCATAAGTCAAAAGGATTTCTTGTCTCTATTGCTAGTTTCGATGTTAAAAGCAAGAGACTCTTCTTTTTTCTCACACACCAAGCATAACATCCTTTTTCTAGAATCTCGGCAGAGTGTCTCCTTACAACAAAGAACCAATTGCCTTATGTGGGGAGGGAAGTGTAGGTGGAGACTTAAGTTATGACCAGATGCTCTCGTAGCTGGCTGCTATTAAGATTCATAACTTTTCCTAGGTACATGTAACA